GGGAGTTGGGGCTCAGTGCGGGCACAGGGGACACAGCTGGAGCTGCCCAGGGAGTTGGGGCTCAGTGTGGGGACAGAGCTGGTGCTGCCCAGGGAGCTGGGGCTCAGTGTGGGCACAGGGAGCAGAGTAGGAGCTGCCCAGGGAGTTGGGGCTCAGCGTGGGCATAGGGAGCAGAGCTGGAGCTGCCCAGGGAGTTGGGGCTCAGCATGGGCACAGGGAGCAGAGCTGGAGCTGCCCAGGGAGCTGGGGCTCGGCATGGGCACAGGGAGCAGAGCAGGAGCTGCCCAGGGAGCTGGGGCTCAGTGTGGGCACAGGGAGCAGAGCAGGAGCTGCCCAGGGAGCTGGGGCTCAGTGCGGGCACAGGGGGCAGAGCTGGTGCTGCCCAGGGAGCTGGGGCTCAGTGCGGGCACAGGGGGCAGAGCTGGTGCTGCCCAGGGAGCTGGGGCTCGGCATGGGCACAGGGAGCAGAGTAGGAGCTGCCCAGGGAGTTGGGGCTCAGTGTGGGGACAGAGCTGGTGCTGCCCAGGGAGCTGGGGCTCAGTGTGGGCACAGGGAGCAGAGTAGGAGCTGCCCAGGGAGTTGGGGCTCAGCGTGGGCACAGGGAGCAGAGCTGGAGCTGCCCAGGGAGCTGGGGCTCAGCATGGGCACAGGGAGCAGAGCAGGAGCTGCCCAGGGAGCTGGGGCTCAGTGCGGGCACAGGGGGCAGAGCTGGTGCTGCCCAGGGAGCTGGGGCTCAGTGTGGGCACAGGGAGCAGAGTAGGAGCTGCCCAGGGAGTTGGGGCTCAGCGTGGGCACAGGGAGCAGAGCTGGAGCTGCCCAGGGAGCTGGGGCTCAGCATGGGCACAGGGAGCAGAGCAGGAGCTGCCCAGGGAGCTGGGGCTCAGTGCGGGCACAGGGGGCAGAGCTGGTGCTGCCCAGGGAGCTGGGGCTCAGTGTGGGCACAGGGGGCAGAGCTGGTGCTGCCCAGGGAGTTGGGGCTCGGCGTGGGCACAGGGAGCAGAGTAGGAGCTGCCCAGGGAGCTGGGGCTCAGTGTGGGCACAGGGAGCAGAGCTGGTGCTGCCCAGGGAGTTGGGGCTCAGTGTGGGCACAGGGGGCAGAGCTGGTGCTGCCCAGGGAGCTGGGGCTCAGTGTGGGCACAGGGAGCAGAGCTGGTGCTGCCCAGGGAGTTGGGGCTCAGTGTGGGCACAGGGGGCAGAGCTGGTGCTGCCCAGGGAGCTGGGGCTCGGCATGGGCACAGGGAGCAGAGTAGGAGCTGCCCAGGGAGTTGGGGCTCAGTGCGGGCACAGGGAGCAGAGCTGGAGCTGCCCAGGGAGCTGGGGCTCAGTGCGGGCACAGGGGACACAGCTGGAGCTGCCCAGGGAGGCTGGAGATCAGGCTGGGGACACAGACCTAACCCCGCGCCAGGCGCATTCCCGGGGCAGGCGAGCCCCGCCGCGCTCATCGCCCCGTGCTGATGCGATGTCGCAGGAGCCGGTTTGTCCCCTCGTGGCCCATCCGTGCCCCGGGGCAGCCGAGCTGAGCCGAGCGTGCCGGCGCAGCCCCTGCTCGGCGTTTCCTGTAAACACGCGCTGCCGCAGCCGCCCCGACTGCGCGATCCCGGCGCGGGATCTGCTCTCACATCGTGCCGAAAGAGGCGATTTGTGCGAAAAACGCGACAGCAAACCGAGCCGCAAAACGCCGATAAAGCTTCTCATGAGCGATCCCATGTTCTGGCCTCGCTCTCTCGTCCAAGTGTTGCACAAACAATTTATTTTGTAAGCGAAGGAGGAACACGATCCTGATTTTGCAAATAGATGTTGTTGTGCGGAAATGGAGGGTGTCGAATTTTATATTCCAGCTCCTGGCCCAACAGCCCAAACAGTTCTAAAAAGGACTTGTGGAGCCATTAGGTCAAACTCTGATTGTGGTTGCAAACTTATCTCCTTAAAAGCGTACAACGTTGTATTTACTTTATTTATCTATTCATGCCAGCAAACAGAGAATTTCATGTAATAACTTGACTGCTAGAGCAGGGGCTTAAAGAACCCCCCAAAAAGGCCAAATTTGGGGAGCCCTGGGAGAAGACTTGCCCAAGATCACTCAGGATGTCTGGGGCAGAGCTGGGACTGAGCCCAGCTCCTCTAAACCCCATTTGTGCCTTAATCACACGACAGGCCAGGTTTAATAGCTGCCTGAATATGAATGTAAAATGAGAGAGTCCCTGTGCAGGAGAATGAAACTGGCCTGATCTGCTGCCAGGGACAGCCCAGCGTTCTGCTGCTCAGGTCACTTGTTTGAGACAAACACCGCAGCAAGATTTTAAATTTAGGTGAAGGCTTCCTGCTGCCTGCCCAGCTCTGTTTTCATTCTCCCTGACAGCGAGGGTTTCCCTCTGAGTGCTCTGAGAAGAGCAGGACTTGAGCCAGATCACAAAACTTCCAGCCTGGATTTTTGCATAATGTAATTGTACATAATGTAATTTAAAAGGACTCAGACATTTAAGTACGTTAGGAGGTTGGGGACTGCCATGAAACTTTTCTGCTTTCAGCAGTGCTATTTTATTTCTTTCTGTTGTTCTGGAGGAGATTATCACAATTTTGGGCATGCTGCCTGGTTCTAAAGTCTACTTTGGGGCTAGGTGTAATATTGCAAGACTGTGGAGTAACATATAGTGCAGAGCAGTAAACACAGGTCTGTCAGGGCGTTTGGTGAAGAAGGTTTTGCCTCATACATAAAATATCGACTGGGGAAGCCTCTCCAGAAAGGCAGCAAATGTCCTCAACACAGGACAAAACTGAGGGAGAAGAAAATCTAGGATTTATTTTTCCAAGTTGGCCCTTGCCTCATATCAAACATTTCCAGCTCCATGAGCACAAATCACAGAGGTCACCGTGGCTAATCTGTAAAAATAAATTGGATGTTTTCATTTCACTCCTGTAATGCGATATTATATGATGCATTTTGAGCAAAAGAAGGAAAAGTTTTAAGATATTCTGAGCCTCTCCTTTTTTCCTGAAGCAGTCTTTTTATTTTTCTTACGTTTTCCACAGAGGTCCCATACCTCAGTGGATAAAAACCATGCGGCTCCTGTGTTCTCTGGTAAGTCATGTTTACAGTTAGCCAGAGCCCTGGCTCGGGGGAGCAGCCCTTGTAATCAAGGGGGTCAATAAATTTCACATGGAAAAGTAAAATCTTTAAAAATGAAAGAGGAAGGGAGCAAATGATGGCTTTTGGTGTGTCCTGAGAACATGAAATACCACAACACTTGACTCAGGGAGGCCTTAAGAACACCGAGTTAAGAGCTTGAATTTGTTTTCAACTCTTCAATACAAGGTCTTTCAAAACGCTAACATCAGAGCACAACAAAAAGAATACATTTTTAACAGACTGTTAAGAGTCACTTGGGGTGGCAGAACCTGGTCCCTCCCACACCCATTTCCAGCAAAATTCTGCTTTGTTCTGCTGGCCTCGCTGCCGTTGGGAGATAATCAATACTTAAACTGCTCCTGTGCTCCAGACTGGGAGTGTTGGCGGGATCAGGTTTGGTCACATAGTGCAAGGTGGTGTGCAGCGAGTTCCGAAGAAACGCAGAGCTCTTGCAAGACAAAGGAATATTTTGCATGCACGGATAAACACCCGGCTCCGATACATCCCACTGCAAAAAAAAAAAAAATCACATTAAACTAGCAGGGATTGAGCAATAAGCTCTCCTTTGTCAGCTCAAAACTCCATCCAGAGCTGTGGAAAGGCCGGGATTCAACACTTGGAAATCTGTGAAGCAGCACAAGGTAAATCCCTTTTCCTCATGGCTCACATGGAAGGACAGAGATTTTTAAACTTCAGGAAATTAGTGAGGCTCTATCAACCCAAATGACCTTCTGAAGGGGCAGGACTTAATTATCTGTATTTTAAAATTTTGGTCTTATCAGGTTTGACCACTTCACGAAGATAAATCTGCTCCAAGTCAGCGTGAGGCACCATTCAAATTTGCCAATAAAGATATTTCACCTTCCAGAATTACCTGGTAAGTAATTACCTTGTATATATTACACATTCTGTAATGGTTTTGGATAATCTTTATTTGCCACATAAGTGACTTGAATTTCAGCCTGGCTAGGGTTGCTCATTTTAGACTGGGGGAACATTTTGAGAAAAACTTTAAAAAAAGCACATTAAAAAAAACCCCACCCAAAACACATGATTTTAGCTGCAATTATTTTAGAAATGTCCTCCATTGAGGCAGGATGATTTTTATATTGAAGGGAACGAGCCCCCGGGTGCGATGTAAATGTAGTGATGTGAACTGAAGTGACTTTAGCAGGTCTCGGTGTGTCTTTGGGGGAAAAAGCAGAGACCGCATGGAAACTCACCTCCTCCTTATCCCATTTACTTGAGGGAGGTGCTAACCTCAGAGTCTAGCGGAGATTAAGCACTTTGCTAACAGCATTACAGATTGCATTTAACTCCTAAAAACCTCCTCAGTGCCAAGTGGGACACTCGGAAATGCATTTTAATTCTTTGCCTGCCGCACTGCATTCCTCTATAGTGTCCATCCCTCTGGAGCAGAGCAGCTGGGTGTTTAAAAAAATGAAAAATAGATGAACCCTGGGTTCTTTTGGGGCAATTTACACAGTAAAGCTGTGTATTCGGGGAGCCCTGATGGGTGCCAGGCCCCTCACTGAGCACGCGGGGCTGCAGCCATAGGACAAAAAGGGTCGTGCTCATCACGTCCCCAGTGACCCACGCAAGGATCAATGCTGATGAGGTATATTGGCTATAATTACGTTTGTGCCTGGGTGACACCGGCTCTGTGTTTCGTGTTTGGGTGGGCGCGGCTGTGTTTTGGATCGCGTCCATCACTCCTTGTCCTGTCTGAGGGGACGGGGCGTGGCCAGCGCCGGGCGTGGCCCAGGGGGCGGGGCCAGCGTTGATTGAAACGCGCCGGGCGCGTGGCCAGCGTAGGCCCCGCCCCGAGGTGGGCGTGTCCGGAGGGAGGGGCGTGGCCCGGGGCTGCCCGAGCAACAGCTGCCGCGGAGCCGTTTACAAACAGTGCCCCGAGCGCGGCGCGGCCGCTGCCCCGCGGCGCCTCGGCTCAGGTGAGGCAGGGCTGGGGGGCACCTGCCGGGGGCTCCGGGCCCCTTCCTCCTCCTCCTCACCTTCCCCGCCCCCCCGGGGGCACCTGCGGCGGGCGCAGCCCCGTCCCTCGGGCGGCCTCTGCCGTGAGGGGCCGGTTGTGCGAGCGAGCGCGGGGGGGCCGCTGCCGCCGGCATGTCTGAAGGGTTCGGGGCGCAGCCCCCCCCCCCCGCCTTGGCCCGGTTGGAAGCGGGGCTCGGAGCCCCCCTTGTCCCCGCGCTGTCCCGGGGGACGGCAGGAGGCGGCAGGAAGGGCGGCGCGGGCCCGGGGGGGCGGAGGAAGGTCCAGGTGTGTGTGGCCCCGCAGGTAGCGGCCCCTCCCGCCGCCCCCTCCCCACGCGGGGCGGGCGCAGCGGCGGCGCGGCCGGAGCCCTTCCCCAGCGCCCTCCCACCCAAAGTTCGCGCTGGCCCCGCGCTGCCGCCGCCGCCGCGCCGCCGCCCCCTCCCCTGGCGCCCCCGGCCGGGCCGCGCTGCCGTCCGTCCCGCACCTGGGGGGTCGCGGGGCCCCCCCGAGGCGCCGCGCCGGGCCCGGGGGCCGCGCTCGGCCGGGGCGGGGGTGCGCGGCGACACGAGAGTATTTCTTTGTGAGTCAAAGATGTTCCTGGAAGAAGGATTTGTAGTAAGTGGCTCATGGGGCGGAGGGGGGGGGTTGTTAATGAAAAGTTTATTGATCCGTTTTGCCAGGTTTTGTTTCATTTACCTTTGTCTTTCAAAGACCAAAGCCTTCCCGATCATTTCTTTAGCATCGTGGTTCTTTTCTTTTTTTTTTTTTTCTTTTCTTTTTTTTTTTTTTAAAGGGGAATAGGAAGTTTAGAAAATAAATAAATAAGGCTCAACTGACTTCTTAAGCAACAAAAGAGGTTGCCAGGCGAGGACAATAAAATTCTAGAATATCCAGAGATTGGATTTCATTCCTGTTCCGTGATGCCCCCTGGACTTTCTGTTTTGGGGTGTGAGGCTTTTTTTGTTTGTTTGTTTGTCTCCCACACAGAAAACCTGCACCCAAAGTAAGGTCTGTATGTTCTCTAATGAGCCATCCCATAAAATGTGCTGTGTGACTCCCAGTAAGTATTTGAATTGAAGTGTAATAGTTTTGAAGTGGTGGGGAACAAAAATCTTTCTGTTGGGTTATTGATCTGCTGATGAAAGGCGTTTGAATGTGAAAAGGGTTTAGTTTAGGGGGGTTGTGTGTTTAAAGGTTTTTTCTTTTAAGGCAACATTTTTTTTTTTCATTTTTGAAATGACCTTGAGAGGTTTAAAACTACATCAGTTTCTACCAGTGGGTTTGAGGGGGAGGCAGGAGCAGAAGAATCTAGTGAAAATCGAAAATAGAAATAGGAACTGAAGTATAACTGCAGTGAAATATTTTCTTATAGAAGTATGTGAAAAGGGAAGTTTTTGTAAGAATGTGTGAAAAAGAGGAGAGGGAAATAACGCAGTTTCAGATGCAGGGAGGGGGGGAGAGAAGGGAGCATATCATTCTTCACATTTTATTAGGCCGTGAAATGCAGGAGTGATATGATCTGGAAGACACAGAAATAAAACGCCTAACTACAAGTTGAATAGCAGGCATTGACTTGCTGACCAACGCTTCCATGCTCGCTGGGGGCTGGTGCTGGGGCTGCAAAGGTAGCAGAGCACAGGGCTGTGACAATGGCTTGCAAATGCTTTAACGCCATGTTTTATTGCTCTTAGGAGCTCTTCTTAACTGGAGGTTTGGGAATACGGCTGAGACTTTAATTTGGGATGTCCACACTGAGGTTTCAGCCTTTCCTGGGATAATAGAAAAGGACAGTTGCAAATAAGTAGGATAAACTGCATTCTTTGGCAGAGGGGGAGGGAAGAGGAGGAGGGTGGAGGAGGGTTTTTTTTTTTTCTTCCCCTTTACTAGTTCTGTAACTGAGTCAATATTTTAAGATCTGTAGCAGGAATGTGGCTTTGTGATCACCGATCGTTCTGCAACGTGTTTTTTTTAGTGAGCAATCTCGTCATGCTGAGCATAATACTTGGATTTTCGATTTCTATAGGCTCTTTCCTGAAATCAGCATCTGAGTTTTGCCTTTTAAGTTTTTCAGGGCGGTGAATATGAAAAACAAATAACTTTAGAACCACGGCTATTACAGTGATTATTGATTGGCTTGGCCCTCAGCCAAGCAACTCTTCTGCATGCAGCAGAGTTGCTGATTTAAATTCTGTGGATTGTTTTTCATAAGTTAGCCTTTTTTAATCTTTAAACAGCATATATGGCAGTTGAGGAACAGTAGATCAGTTTTTAGTTAAGGTTGTTCAATTATGTCTTCATCGCTTTGGAGTTGGTTGAATGACTTGACATGAGATTAAGCACAACAAAAGAAAAGGCAGGGGAACAACAGCTGCCTTCCAGTACCAGAGCTCCAGATTCTGAGCACTTCAGCGTTTTACCTTTTACTGTTCCGTGGTGTCAGGTTTAAATGTGAATATTTCTATTCCCTTTGCGAGAAGCTCAGGCTTGCTGATAACACATCAGCCGCTCAAAGCCTGGATGTTCGTGTTTTGGGGGTTGTTTGTCTGCTGCATTTTGCAGAAAATGATCTGAGGATCTGATACTGAGCAGTGAATTGATCTCATTAACTTTTAAGACAAAAGTAGCAAACAGTCCCCACTAGTTTGTACTTGTTTAGTTACTGTGTGGTAAGAACTTTAAGGTGTGTCCTTAATGGCAACTGACGATTCTTGCTGCGAAGCCTTGTTTATTTTAGGTAGATGTTTTATACAGAATTTCCAGTGGGACAAATTACTCCACTGACTGCACTTATTCTTTCTGAAGGCTGACTGTGAGCATAAGAGAATAATTTTGCCATGCTGCAATCAGGCTATATTTAAAAATTGAAGCCATTAAGTTTTGCTGTGTATTTTAAGGCTTTTCCTACTTCCTTTGTTTAAACATTCTCAAACAGTGCATATCATAGATGAGTTTAAAACATTCATACGGCACTGTTGGGGCCGAATTTAAAATTAAAATGAATACCGACGTCCTTGTTGATCAAAATAGAAAAAGCATTTCTTTAAATAAGTGGATGTTTTCTGGTTTTGAGTGTGGTAAGGAGGCTATATTGGTGTCTTGTACACAAAGTTTCATATTAAGTAGTCTTTAGAGAATGGCTTCCAGGCTTTGCATTAGAGGATTTCTTTCTTTTCCTCTTTAAGTGAATAATGTTTTTTGGTTTTGCTTTGTTTTGGTGGAGGGGTGGGGAGAGCGTGATTTAGGGTAGGGGCTGGAAAAGAGAGGAAGATAATAAACTTCAGCACCTTTTTATCAGACTGTCTTACACAAAAGGCTACTTGATTCTGGTTTCCCCTTTCATTAGATCACACTCCAAAAATTCATTTTTGAGCACTTATTCTAACCTTCAGAAATACCTCCTCTTACCACTATATTTTCATTTAGAACTATGCTGATAGATTAATACCATGTTTTATACAAAGTGCAAAGTTATTACTGTAATCAGGGGGAAATTATTTTAAAAGGGAACTGTGCCTTTCACTTAGACTTTCAATCCTGTGATTACAGTAAACTTTTAGTTACAAAAAAAATCTGAGAGTTTGCAATTAAGGAGCTCTGGGGAAACGTTAAGTAAATTTTAACTTCCCTTTGTTCTTTGGGACTTTTTGTTGTCCCAGCTCTTTCTAACCTGAATCTTGATTTGGAATGCATTGTCCTAGGCAAAGATTCCATCCAGTGTATATGTAAATACACTCCCTCTTTCCTGTGTTATGAAATGCTGGCATATGGAAAGAGCAGCCCCCCTTTCCCCAAGGTAAAATGGGCTGAGCTTTCTTTTCTTTGCAAGAAGCTGAAAGAAGAGTTTGACCTTTGAACTCAGCCTCACACTTCCACGCTGCTTTCGGGATGATTAAATAACCCAGGATATTTGCCCGTGTCTTATGCTTATTTATCTCACTTTAAATGTTGTAATACTTCACTGTTGAGGTATTGTCTTTAAATATAGCAGGACGAGCCTTGGGGTTGCAGCGGGGCTGCCATGTGCCAGCTCAGCTCTCGCTGGGGACACTCTGCATTGCCAGCCCCCTCAGAGCCTTCCCACATCTCATATCGCCATGATTCCCAGATTGCTTTTAACTTTTAACCGACTTGGGGCATTTCTCATCACCCCCTGCCTTTCTAAGGTGACTTTAGGAAAAAAAAAAAAAGCTTTTTCTTCCTGGTGCATGAATGTGCTGAGGGGATTCTGCTGACTACTCTATGCGTGCTTTGAGAGATGTGACTCATTCCACAAGAGATTTGCAACTGAATACAAAAGTAAGGAAAAGGATATGACCAAGCTATGTAAGATTCTCAACACATGTTGTGTTTTAGGATTAAAAAAGCCTTTTTCAGTCTAAATTTACCTAGGTTTTTATGTGCTTCCAAACAGAAAGTTGCTTTCTCTAAATAATTTGCTTTTAGAAATCAACTTTTTTTTTTTCCTTCAGCGAAATTGCCAAATAATCTCCTTTTGTTGCTGATGAAGCTTGTTTGTGCCAAACGTGGGTGTATGTCAATGAGAAAAATACATAAAAACTTCTACTGTTATAATCATATGACTTTGGTCAGAGCATAGTTTATAGCTTATCATAAATCTAGAACTCTTGATTCTTCCTCCTTTTTTTTTTTTTTTTTAAGCGGTGTGATAAGAGCAGACTTTGCAGTTTCAAAGTAGAGCAGTCTACATGCTGGGAAAAATGAGTTTGAAATTAAAAATATAGGTGACAAACGTGTTTGGAAACACAATGAGATGGAATTGCTTATCAGGCTGCCTCGAGGATTTCAAAAGAAAGCACAAGAGGAAATGTGGGTAGAATATGCAGGGAGATCTATGTAGATCAGGGTGACTTCAAGACTGGAGCAGAAAACCATCCAAGCAGAAGTGAATAATTGACTGGATGGTGCTTTTCTATGAGCTGCAGATTTTATGTAACTAAAA